CAGAGAACTAGGAGGATAATGGCAAAGACCAGGATATGTAAGTCAATAGAGCCTGATGAAGAGAATGTCCCGTCGGGCCTAGGAAGCCTGTGGTCTTTACACTAAAGAAGGGATAGCAACACCTCACTCACAGGGTAGCTGTTTAGATGAAAGCGCATCACTGCCCTCCCTCATCCCACACTTCCTTATTGAATCTATCACCAAGTCCTATCAGCACCACCTCCAAGAAATCCGTCACCTCCCAAATACGTTTCCATCTCCACAACCATGACCCTCGTCTAAGTCGTCATCTCTAGCCTGGACAATTGCGAACTAGTCCTGACCTCCACCTTTGCTCCCCTCCCATGCATTATTCCTGCAGCAACTCCAGTGATCTTACTAAAATTTAAATTGGCTCGCAGTAGGCCTTCGCTTAAAACCTTCCAGGGAGGAGTGCCTGGGTGGCTCAGTGGGTTAAAGCCTCTGTCTTCTGCTCAGGTCATGATCCCAGGATCTTGGGATCGAGCCTCGAATCTCTGCTCAGCAAGGAGCCTGCTTCCTCCTCTCTCTCTGCCTGCCTCTCTGCCTACTTGTGATCTCTGTCTGTCAAATAAATAAATAAAATCTTAAAAAAAAAACCTTCCAGGGACTTCTCAGTGCTCTTAGCATAGAGACCAAATCCTTAAGACATATGCTAATGCAGTTCCCCTCCCTGAGATGCGCATTTTAGCTCAACTCCCACCTCACTCCTCACCTACTTCTTTCCAACTCACCCTTACATCTTTACTTCTCTTCTTCAGGGAAGCCTTTCCTGATCCCAAACCACCACCTATTTCACATTCTTTTCTTATTTGCCCACTGGGAACCATGTTATTTCTCTTCTGATCTCTTATCTCTGTAATTACACACTCATCAGAGCGATTGTTTAATGTCTGTTTCTGCCACTAAACTATAAGCATGAGAATGTAAGAAACATATTTTTTGCTTACTTTTGGATCTCCAGAACCTTGCCCAATCTTTGACATATAGGAAGCACTCAATGAATACTTGTTCATTGAATGAGGGAGGTGTTAGCTACTGCTATAAATAATAAAATACTAACAATAATTGTTATTTAGGGGCACCTGGGTGGCTCAGTGGTTAGGCGTCTGCCTTTGGCTCAGGTCCTGATCACAGGGTCCTGGGATTGAGCCCCACATCAGGCTCTCCACTCGGTGGGAAACCTGCTTCTCCCTCTCCCACTCCCCCTTGCTTGTGTTCCCTCTCTCGCTCTCTGTCAAATAAATAAATGAAAATCTTTAAAAACAAAACAGATTGTTATTTATTATTATTTTATTGTTATAAATGTGCCATTTCATTGTTATCCACAGGAACCAGCAAAATATTAGCACAGACCATGTTGCTGGTCAGTAAATACCCTACCACCTTTTACCAGAGCCCCTATTTCTATATTTAGCTCAATTATTATGTTCTAACTATAGCTACAACCCAGCATGGTTATGAGACTCTGAAGTCAGACTTGGCCTAAACCCTCATTCTGCTACTATCTTTGTGACTTAGAACAAGTTGGCCTTTCTGGGATGAGTTTTCAGACTCATGAGGCTTTCATGAGATCATGCATGGAAAGTGCTTAGTACAGAGTCTGGAATATAACATGCCCCAATAACATACTGTTACCTCATACAGATTGTTGATTAATCTGAACAAGTACCTATTAAAATGTACAGCAAGGGGCACCTGGGTGGCTCAGTGGGTTAAGCTTCCGGCTTCAGCTCAGGTCATGATCTCAGGGTCCTGGGATCGAGTCCTGCATCGGGCTCTCTGCTCAGCAGGGAGCCTGCTTCCCCCTCTCCCTCTGCTGCCTCTCTGCCTACTTGTGATCTCTCTGTGTCAAATAAATAAAATCTTAAAAAATAAATAAAAAATAAAATGTACAGCAGAAACAGAATACCAAAGGATCTGTGACAGCATGCTATCTCCGCCTGCTGGGGGAAAATCTCCCTTAGGATATATGAACTTGATGGAATCTTCCTGTAATCTTGAGAAATAAAGGGAACTTTGAAAGAGGCAAGGAAGGCTACAGAAGGTAAAGTTGGGGGCCTCTGAGAATTCAAATGTACTATTTACCTTATGTGCTGGTAAGTCATCTGGAATGCAAAAAACAATGGGTTAGGCCCCAAAGGGTTGGCTTCCTAAGTAGTAGCAAAAGTCTGAGGATACTCATCTAACATTCATATTTGACCTTATCTGTTCTTTGTACCATCATGTCCCTGATTTGCCAAAACTGATTACCTCAAGGAAACAACTGTCCATATCCTTCGTTTGGGGAACTTAGCTAATAACCAATTTTCCTCCACTCAAATGTTATCTAATAGGCTTATTAAGCCATTGCTGCTCCTTTGGATAGATACCTTGAAAAAAGGGATCTTGGGGTAGGAAAAGTCTTCATGGTCAAAGGACTGAATCTCAAATGGTAGAATCTAAGAAAATAAGACGTGCGATGCAGGAAATGGACTCAGGAGGAGCACATGGCCCTGTGTGCTTCCTATCAGGCAATGGTTAGGAGCAGCTGTCTGGAATTAGATGGATGAGATTTCAAATCCAATTTCAAATCCTAGATCTGCAACATACAAGCCTGGTGATCCAGGTAAGTTAATTAAGTCTATGTCCCCAACTGTAAAATGGGGATAATAAGGATCTATCTTAGGAGGTTGTTAGAAAGATTAAATGAGATGACACAAAGTCATCCAAAAAGAGTCTGGTAGAATTTGAGTGCTCACATATTTTTATTATTTAATCATATCTGGTAATTAAATCGAAGCAGCCATGGCCTGTTCTTTTCTAAAACCATAATGGGCTCCTCCTAGAGAGCACTGGGGCCCATGTGGTTACCCACCCTACTTGTATTTCAGGCACGGGATGGATGGAGCAGCAATGAGGGGAAGCGGAAACGCAGACCTCTGGCCACTGGTCCCACTTGATGAGTAATATTGCATGGAGGACAGAAAAGGGGAAACTTAGATGAAACTCGTACCCCCACCCCACAATAAAAAATAAAAGGACAACTCAGTATAATTATGCCCAGATTTCTGTTGGGAGAAGTTTGCAAACTAATTTTTACATAAAGGCCACCAGGCCAATTAACATCCTGAGTGCTTAAAGGAGTGGGGTAGTGGGAAGAGGGTAACTGGCGAGAGTTTTGCTCTCTCCCAACCCCCACAATAACTACACTTAAAGCTCCAGACACCACCTCCCTTCCCAGCAAACCTCAGTTTTTCAGACCCCGTCAGTCTGTTCCCAGAAACCTCAGGTGGTTTCAGCTTCCGTTGACCTTAAAAAACAAAAGAGCCGTTATTTTACCAGCAAAATGAGTTTATTGAGGAAGAGCAGAGGAACTGTAATTCAGAACAAGCAAACTGTGGCAACCCAGAAAACAGAGGAGAGGGGCTTGCTTTCCCAGGGGAAAAGAGGAAGCTTGGAGGGACTGTTTCATTGAGCTCTCACTGACTGGGCTGTTGCTGGGCAAGGAGAAATTCATCCTTCCTCAGGCTGGGATACCAAAAGCAAGCTGCTTCCTGCTGGGAATTGTGGGATAATGCTTCTTCCAGCAAGAGGTAATGCATGAGAGCTCCCCCTTCAGGGCTTCCTGACTCCATTTTAAATAAAGTTTCCTTTATTTTCACATCTCCCCCTTTTGATCAAGGTCTTTCTCAAAAGCACCGCTAATCAAAAGTCAGGGTTGTGTTGTGGTGGGTTTTTTTTCATATTTAGTGTTTTCATCCCCTCGGTGTCAGAAAAGATCTTTCCTGGTGGTCATGTCCCACATGAGAGGGGAAAGTGCATAGAATGGAAACGGGTGAAGTCACATTTGAGTAACAGGGAAGAGTAGGAGGGAGAACTGTCAGGCATTTCCCGTCTGAGATAAATGTTGAAGATCATCTCAAAGTGCTGAGCTAGCATCACCCTACTGGGCACGTTATTTCTACAAAGGTTTGAGAGGCAATAAGTATAAGGCTTAAAACTGATTATAAAGGTGTGCCTGGGTGCCTTCGTCAGTTGAGAGTCTGACTCTTGATCTCAGGGTTGTAAGTTTGAACCCCACACTGGGTGTAGAGATTATTTAAAAATAAAATCTTTTAAAAAACGATTATACAGGGGCGCCTGGGTGGCTCAGTGGGTTAAAGCCTCTGCCTTCGGCTCAGGTCATGATCCCAGGGTCCTGGGATCGAGCCTCACATCGGGCTCTCTGCTCAGCAGGGAGCCTGCTTCCTCCTCTCTCTCTGCCTGCCTCTCTGCCTACTTATGATCGCTGTCAAATAAATAAATAAAATCTTATTTTAAAAAAGATTATACAGAATAAGATGAGCAGAACTTCTGCAAGGCTAAGGGGTCTTTTCCAAAAGCCTTGCAGGGGCACCTACATGGCTCCGTTGGTTGAGCAACAGACTCTTGGTTTTGGCTCAGGTCATGATCTTGCTGTTATGGGATCCAGCCCCGAGTAGCGCTCCATATTCAGTGCGGAATCTGCTTCAGATTCTTTTTCCTTTCCCCTTTGCTCCTCCCTGCTCACTCACTTTTGCGCTCTCTCACTCAAATAAATAAACAAAAATCTTTTTTTAAAAAGCCTTGCAAAGAGGAGTTAGCTCATTTGTATTTCCCTTGGATGCAGGGAAACAAATAATAAATAGGGAAGAACAAATCGAAGTTTCTGGTGTCAGATCCAACAGCCAGAAAGGCTCCCTTTTTGCAATAGATTAGAAAGAAAGGGAGGAAATAAGGTAAGAAGCAACAGCGAGAAAAAGGTATACAGGTCTGGTCCAGTCATCTTGGGAAAGCTGTCTCCTTCAGCTGTCGTCTGCTTCAATTCCTGGAAATCTTTATTTCCAGATACTCAGGGGATGTGCAGATCTAGTCAGGGTTTGGCACTTTCATTAGATGTGACACACGGGAGGCTGCTTGGCTGGCTCAGTCAGAGGAGTGTGCAACTCTTGATCTCCGGGTTGTGAGTTCGAGCTCCACGTTGGATGGAGAGATTAGTTTAAAAATTAAATCTTAAAAAAAAAAAAAAGGATGTCACACATGGATCCAAGAGTCATTCCTTGGAGTTTCGCAGTACAAGGGTTGGTTAACAGTACCTGAAAGGGGCCTTTCCAACAGGGTTGAAGAGAGTCTTCCTGTAGCTGTCTTTTCCAATAGATGAAATCTCTGGACTGCAAGGTATGACGCTTTAGATCTTTGTCTCCCAGGAACGCACTGTGGAAAGATTGTTCTACTAAAGCGTGGTTATTCTCAACAGAAGCAATTTGGCCTGTGCAATATTTAAGTATATCTCCTTTTACCATTTGTGGATCGAAAGAAGCAGGAGCCAAGTACATGGGCCATCCTGTGATTATCTCAAAAGGTAACAGTTTATAGGTTCCAAAGAGGTAGATCTAAAATGTAGGAAAACTAATGGCAGTGCTTTTGGCCGGATTATTTGAAGAGCCTCTACAAATTTTGCTTAACAATACCATTAGTGTGTTTGACTTGCCCTGAGGATTAAGGGTAGCAAGCACAGGAGAAATGTTGTAACAATACCCAAACAACACAAACCTGTCGAAGCAAGTTCTCTGGTCACTATGAAGTTTGAGGGGAATTCCCCAGGTACGGATGATTTTTTCTAGCAGGATTTTAGCCACAAAAAAATAGCAGTCCAGTGAGAAAACATACAAACCATTATCAAGACAAATTTATATGCCTGAGACGGAGGAAGCTGAATAAAATCCATCTGCCAAACTTTGATCCATTGGGCAATTTACAGTGTCCAGAAGCAGTGCACACAGGTTTTTCCAAATTATATTTAAAGGCAGGTAGGGCAAGCAGAGTAGGCACTGTGTGGTCTTGTTAACATTTACCCACCAGTATTGGCTCAAAGGTTTTCATTTTATCAGCAGACCAATGATTGGATACGTATACAGTAGTCAGTACTAGGAATTTTAGAGTCTGTGGCAGCACTGGATTATTATTTGGCCCAACCCAGATTTTTTTTTTTTTTTTTTTTTAATGAAACCAGCAGTCATTAGGTTTTCAATATTGTTTTTTCCTTTTCTGGGGCTGATGGTTGGGCATCTCTAGTCAATTTTTCTAGATTATCATTTGGGGAGGGGAACATCCCTTCGACCATGACAGAGGTTTGGCTGTTGGTTCCTTCAAGAGCAGCATTCTTTGCGGAAATATCAACTAGGTAGTTTCCTCTGGCCTCCAAGGAATCCAGCTTAGAATGTGCAGGGACCTTAACACCAGCCAAAGCACCTGCCAAGTGTATGGCATCTAGTCATTTCTGAACATAAAGGACTTTTTTAATTTTGTCCCCACTAGAAGTGAGGAAGTCTCACTGTTTCCTTAGCATTCCAAAGTCATGAGCTACTTCAAAGGCCTACCTACCGTCAGTATAGATATTTGCAGTTTTGCCCTTGGCTAAAATGCAGTCCGAGCATGAATAGCCTGTTGGGCCAGGATAGCTGAGGGCAAAAGTGCGTCTTAATGGCTTAAAAAAAAAACCTGTATAGCATACCCAACATAATATTTACCATTTCCACCTTTTAAATAAGAACTATTGGTAAACCACCAAAAGTCTGCTTTATGCAAAGAAGCTTTCTGTAAGCCATCAAAGGGAGTCTGACAGTCATGAAGAGGACCCTCCACAGAGAAGGAAGAATGGTGGCAAGGTTAAGGTTAGTACAGCAAGAGAGTCTGGAATCCAATTTTTCACAGCAGCCAGCTAGCCTAAGAAAACCTTACAACTGGCTTCGTTTTGGGAAGTTCAGGATGCCATGAAGCCTATTTGGATCTATGTGTAGCTTTTGTTCTGAGCTCAGGTGCTGCAAATATCAAACCAGAGTCTGAGAAAACTGCAGTTTCTCCATGGAAACCTTGCGTTCCTTTAAGGCTAACAGCCTAAACAGGTGGATGCTGTCCGTGCAACGCCTGAGAAGGGGATCAGAGAAGCAAGTGCCTGAGTATTGTAATAAGGCAGAACTTCTAGTTAACTTTGTATCTTCTAAATCCACTTTTAAGGTTTGGGAGAAGTAGGAAGGACTTTCAGCAAAACTCTGGGGCATTACTGCCCAGGTACACTGCTCTTCTTCCCCAAAAGGCAAAAAGATAATTGACGACCTTATCCACAGAGAAATCAATCACAGTGAAAAATCTGACGGAACAAATACAAGATGTTGAAGGGTCATCTGATTCACCGAGCTGGCAATTTTGGTTGTTGCTATCAAATTCTAGAATTATCTCCCCCTTTCAGGAGAAAAAAATTCCAATGTTATTTTTCTAAGAAATCTCAGCCCAAAAATTGAATAGGGGCAGAGGAACTAAGAAGAAAAGAATGAGTATCTCTTAAAGGAAACAAGAAGGAATTGGTTTAAAGATAGGAACGGGCTGAGGTTTATTAGCGACCCCCACTACTTGAACCATTTCAGTATTTCGAGCAGGGGCTGTTTAATAACAGTAGGACTGCGCACTGAGAGCGTAGGTCTGATGTCGACAAGGACACAAAGAGATTCATCCCCAGTCTGGAGAGTTTCTTCTCCAAGCTGGTAAAGAGGAAGAATTGGGAAAAGCCCCTGTAATTCTTCGGAGTCGTGTAGTTGGGAGTTCGGAGGGCACTGGAAAGGCTGGTTGGAGGGCTGAAGGCACTTAGAACACTTACCTTTGGAACAATCTTTCTTCCAATGTCCAATAATGGCAGAGACCAGGAGGGAGTTGCTTTTGCTTAAGGCGCTTCCATTTGTTAGAGTTGAAAATTAAAGATTTTAGTGGTCTTCCTTGTAGCTGAATTCTCTGGGGTGTGGGTGGGCCACTTTGCTAAAATAACTGAATCTGAAGCAGACAGTTTCCCAGTCCATCCTAGTCCTTTTAACTACAAGGGAAAAATCCAGATTCAGCCCTTTAATGAACACAGAATTGAAGGGTACCTGAGTGGACTTAACATCCATAGGGAGGCCACAATTTTCCTGAAAAACAGTTTGGAGGTGACTGTAATAGTCCTGCAAAGGTTCATGGGGTTTCTGAGTGCAAGCTTCAATCTTATTCCAATCAACAGGTTTTGGGAAAGCCCTAGGGACTGCCCAGTGAAGCTGTTTAGCAATTGCCCAGCCTGACCATATAAAAAGGCATGGGGTTGGTCTCTCATTTAAAGTTCTAAAGAGGGGCGCCTGGTTGGCTCAGTGGGTTAAAGCCTCTGCCTTTGGCTCGGGTCATGGTCCCGGGGTCCTGGGATCGAGTCCCGCGTCAGTCTCTCTGCTCCGCAGGGAGCCTGCTTTCTCCTCTCTCTCTGTCTGCCTGCCTCTCTGCCTACCTGTGATCTCTGTGTCAAATAGATAAATAAAATTAAAAAAAAAAAAGTTCTAAAGATGGGACGCCTGGGTGGCTCAGTCACCTTTGGCTTAAGTGTCTTAAGCACCTGCCTTCAGCTCAGCTCATGATCCCAGGGTCCTGGGATCTAGTCCCACATGGAGCTCCTTGCTCACCTGGGAGCCTGCTTCTTCTTCTGCCTGCCACCCTCTCCCGTGCACCTCCCCCCACCCCGCTTGTGTGCCTGGGGCTCTCTCTCTCTCTCTCTGACAAATAAATGAAGTCTTTGAAAAATAAAGTTTTAAAGATTTTTCAGGATCATCCCAATTAGCTGTTTTCATCCAGTGCTGGGCCTGGCCTTCAACAAGCATGTGAAGTAGCCGATACAAATCTGAGGAAGCTGGTTGGTAGGTCTGAATGACTACATTAAATTCTTTGGCAAATCTATGAGGATCTTCAATAACTCCGGGAAAATCTTTCACCATGGCTCATAGTTCAGCCTTAGTCCAGGGGACATGGGAAATTAGGAGCTTAGCATCAGGATCCTCTTAAGAGTGTAATTAAAGGGGCCGGTTTTAATGGGTTCAGAGAAGGGAGAGGGGAGAGGTTCAGAGAAAAAGGGAAGTTCACTGAGAGAACAAGAATGAGGAAGCAGAGGGTATAAAGGACGTAGAGACGGAGACAAAGAGGACTGGGGAGGAAGAAAGAGGCCTGAAAAGGTTTTTTTGTCTTCTTCCAATTGTTTGTTCACCTTGGTTAATTAAAATGGTATTTTTTTTAAAGAGATGATTTTAGAGTCTTGGATACTCTTGAAAGCTTCAAGATATTAATTGAAATAGGTATCCCATTTAGTTCATTTTATTTTAGAGCTTCTAATTTGGTTCTAAGAAAATCAAGTTTGGGAAGATCCAACGTTCCCCATAACAGCCACTGGAGTCCTGAGTAATTTTTTGTTAAGTTGGTCCAATTAGTTAAAAATGCACATGAGGAGGGACCATAGTTTTAAACATAAAACTGGCTGGGGTCCCAGAAGGACGACCCTCCTGAGAGAATTGAGCAGATTGAGAACTCATTATGGAGAGAACTTAGCAGATTGAGAACCCATTACTCAAAACCAGAGGTTCAGGAAACAGAAGAGTACTCACGAGGAAGGACAACAGTTTCATTAAAAAAATTTTTTTTAAACAGATCCAAATAAAGTCGGAGAGCTCAACCAGAAGGAGGGAGCTCAGATCCGAGAGTGGACTTACCGAACTAAAGGCAAGATGACTCACAGAAGCAGAAAGCACAAGGCACTAACGTAGGTACTTTACATGGTTCTGGGGGTCGTGACTTCCTCAGGGGTTCCTCTCCTTTGGGTCCCATCTGGGTCACCATGTAATGCTGACCTTAAAAAGCAAAAGAGCCAGTTATTCTACCAGCAAAATGACTTCATAAGGGAATAGAGAGGAACTGAAACTCAAGACAGGAAAACTACGGTGAACCACGGGGCAAATCCAGAAAACAGAGGAGAGGGGCTTGCTTTTAGGAGGGGAAAGGAAGAAGCTAGGAGGAGCTGTTTTGCTGAGTTCTCACTGGCTGGATTGTTACTGGGCCATGAGAAATTCTTCCTCCTGCTGGGGCGTTATAAGGTAAGCAGCTTCCTCTTGGGGAATGCGAAAACACTTCTTACAAGCAAGCAGTAATTCATGAGAGCTCCCCCTCCAGGGCTTCCCAACTCAATTTTTAAATTGTTTTTGAAGATTTACTCTTTATTTATTTGAGAGCGAGCGAGAGAGATCAAGCACAGATGGCTCGTAGGGGCCTGTAGGGGCAGAGGGGGAGGGAGAGAATCTCAAGGAGACTCCCCACTGAGCATGGAGCCCAGTGCAGGGCTCAATCTCACAACCCTGAGATCAGGACCTGAGCCGAAATCACGAGTGGGATGCTTTACTGACTGAGCCACCCAGGCACCTCCTGACTCCATTTTAAATGAGGTTTCCTTTATTTTCACACTTCCCACTTTACAGCCTCTGGACTTTTCCCAAGTCCTTCCTCCCAATCAAAATGTACCTGTTTATTCCCTCAAGGCCATACTCTTTACTAGATGTCAGTGATATAATTCAGGGTTAAGGCATACTAATATTTTGATGATTTTGTTTCCCATGTGCCCCACATAAGAGGTTCAAGGGATGTATTATGAAGAATATTAAATCAGCAAAATGTTTAGGGACCTAGTATGAACCTGGCATTGGCCTAGATCCTATAGCACTGTATCAAAGAACAGAAAAATTGCCACTGGGGCGCCTGGGTGGCTCAGTCGGTTAAATATCTGACTCTTGATTTTGGTCAGGTGGTGATCTCAGGGTCGTGAGATTGAGCCCCACATGAGACTCCGTGCTCCATGCTGTCTACTTCTCTCCCTCTCTCTCTCCCTCTGCCCCACCCCCACTCACACACTTGCACACTCACCCTAATAAATAAAATCTTCTAAAAATACTTTATAAAAAAAGAAAAATTGGGGGTGCCTGGGTGGCTCAGTGGGTTGGGGCCCCTGCCTTCGGCTCGGGTCATGATACCGGGGTCCTGGGATCGAACCCTGCATGGGCTCTCTGCTCAGCAGGGAGCCTGCTTCCTCCTGCCTCTCTGCCACTTGTGATCTCTATCAAATAAATAAATAAATCTAAAAAAAAATAAAAAAATAAAAATTGCCACACTGGATCTATCCAGCCTACTACCCAGTAGCTAACATTATCAACAAAGGACATGCTCTGGAAAAAACAGAGATGGGGCGCCCAGGTGGCTCAGTCGGTTAAGTGTCTGTCTGCCTTTGGCTCAGGTCATGATCCCAAGGTCCTAGGTTTGAGACCCATGTCAGGCTCCATGTTCAGTGGGAGCGTCTGTTCTCCCTCCACCCTCTCCCTGCTTATGTGTGCACTCATGCGCGCGCTCTCTCTCTCTCTGAAATAAATAAATAAATAAATAAATAAATAAATAAATAAAATCTTTTTTTTTTTTAAAGAAAGAAAAAACAGAGATGGAACATTCAAACAACCTTTCTGGAAGGCTTTTTAGACAAACATAGAAAAAACTTTAAAAATTTACACACTCTTTGACCTATGATTTTACTCCTAAGAATTTATGCTAAGGAAGTAATAAGAGATACTTACAAAGATCCAAGTGCAATGATGTGTATTACAACATTATTTATAATACTGAAACAATCTAAATATCCAAAATAGAGGGCAAGGTAAATAATTTATTCTGTATTCGTATGATAGAATGTTGTGTACATTAAATTCCTATTAACACAAGATTTTTTGACAACAAAAAAAATCTATTGTTGATTGTGAAAATTTTTTTCAAGATTTTATTTATTTATTTAACAGACAGAGATCACAAGTAGGCAGAGAGGCAGGCAGAGGGCGGGGGGAAGCAGGCTCCCCACCGAGCAGAGAACCTGATGCAGGGCTCGATCCCAGGACCCTGGGACCATGACCCGAGCTGAAGGCAGAGGCTCAACCCACTGAGCCACCCAGGCACCCCTGATTGTGAAAATTTTTGTTTTAATTTTATGCATAGAAAAAGACTGAAAAGATTTACCTTAAATGTTGAAAATGTTTGTATCAAAATGATAGGAATATGAATGACCTTTTTTAAGCTAAATGTTCTAAATTTCCACAAGAAACATTCTTTTTTAATTGGGAAAAAACAATGCAATTGTCTATTTTTTAAATGGAATATTCCCTGAGAAAGACTATTTGTCTTCCTTAAAACATCAAAGAGTAACAATATTCCCAGCTTCTCCTAATGTAGCCATTTATAGTTTTTCATTTGTAAATGTGTTTAACAGTTTTAATCCTTTTCACTTCTGGTAACTTGTGCTATTATTTTTTTGACATAATTACACATTCAACAAAGGTTACAAGGAATGTAGAGAGAAGTCCCATGCACTGTTTCCTCAGTAGCCCCAATGTTAGCATCTTATACAACTATAGCGCAGTATCAAAACCAAGAAATTGACACTGGTACAATCCTCAGTGCTTATTCAGATTTCACCCATTATACATGTACTCATTTGTGTCTGGGTGTTGTGTGTGGGTGAGTGTTTAGCTCTATATAATTCTATCAGATGTATAGCCTTGCATAACAACCACCACAATCAAGATCTAGAACATTTTCATCACAAGGATCCCTCATGTTGTACTTTTTTAAAGATTTTATTTATTTGAGAGGGAGAGAGAGAGAGCGGGCATGAGTGGAGGAGGAACAGATGGAGAGGGACAAGCAAACTCGGCGCTGAGCATGGGGTCCAAGGTAGGGCTCGATCCCATGACCCCGAGATCATGACCTAAGCCAAAATCAAGAGTCAAATGCAAAATTTTTAAAAACCAGTATTTTTCCTTATATTAACTGGTACAACTCCTTGCTACCCTTTCTATATTTTTTGCCTGCATCTTTTGATCACCTCTTCATCTGATATCACTTTTGTACTATAATGTCTATAGAGAGAACAGGGAAATAATTTAGTATTTCCCAAGAGTACAGAAAAGTTTTTTTTTTTTTTTTTTGGTTTCCCAGCCCATCACTGATTAATGTCACATATATATTCTGGGTTGTCAATTTTGGGAAAACCTCTATCAAATCTGGGAAAACCTCTCTATCATTTCTTGTCTATATAAGCTGTAAGATTTTAGGCTATGTCAAGTTTTTTATGTAATGACTAATCTTAGATAAGCTTTAGACTTACTGGTTTAAAAGTGTTCCCTCAAGGGACGCCTGGGTGGCTCAGTTGGTTGGACGACTGCCTTCGGCTCAGGTCATGATCCTGGAGTCCCGGGATCGAGTCCCGCATCGGGCTCCCGGCTACGCGGGGAGTCTGCTTCTCTCTCTGACCTTCTCCTCGCTCATGCTCTTTCTCACTGTCTCTCTCTCAAATAAATAAGTAAAATCTTAAAAAAAAAAAGTGTTCCCTCAAGTCATTTCTACACTGGTACAGCCACCCATAACTTAACTATATGCAGAAGTGATAGGAAACCACATAAATATATCCTGCTAACCCCAAATAAATGTATCTGAAACACAATTTCTCTTTGGTTGGATCCCCAAAAGAATAGTTCCAGTAAAGGGGCACCTGGGTGGCTCAGTTAAGCGCCTGCCTTTGGCTCAGGTCATGTTCTCCACATCCTGGGATCCAGTCCTACATTGGGCTCCCTGCTCGGCAGGGAGTCTGCTTCTCTCTCTCTCTCTCTCTCTCTCCCCCTCTGCCCCTCCTCCCTGTTCATTATCTTTCTCATAAATAAATAAATAAATAAAAATCTTTAAAAAAAAATAGCTCCAGTAAAAACAGAACTCTCCACAGAAAGCAAACAAAGGCAGAAAATATAAAAGGAGCAAAAGTGTTTTCTGGGTTGGATGAAGATAGCCAACACTTATTTTTAATACATCTTGTGTCTTCACAAGTAGATTTAAAGTTAATAAAAAAGTGTTCCCCTCTCATATACATTTAAAGTAGTCTAATGTTGTGAATTCCCTTGACAGAATTGGGGAAACCATGTCCCAGAAGAATAAAGCCTCAGAGGAAACCTGCTGGAGCTAATCTGTGGCAGGAAAGCCTTCCCCACCACTGAATTCTAAACCTGTTCTGTGGCAAAGACTTCTGAAAGGAGGACAGCAAAGACAGAAATCCTAAGGAAAAGATGGGATGGATTTAGCCATACTAAACTTAAAAACATCCATGAGGTTAAAACAAAACCAAACACAAAAAAAAACCCTTGGGGAAGAAAGTACTTGTTATTCATATTACAAAGGAGAGCACCACTACAGAAATCAATTAAAAATTTTAAAGCATGAGGAATCCAACAGAAAAACTGGCAAAGACCATGAACAGGCCATTCACAAAGAAAGAAATATGGAAAGGCAAAAATTGAAACAACTGCCAAAGAGTTAGGGAAACCAATCCCTCTCACCCTGCTGTTGGGAATAGAAATTAGTTCACCTTTATACAAGGCTACTTGACAATATAAAAATGACACTAACACTTATAAGAAGCTTGCTCTTTGCTAAGTACTCTGTGAAGTGCTTTGCACTGATTAAGTTATTCAATTCTCACTCAGCTTTATTGATATTCAATGTGCATCATTTGTAATAATGAAAACTCAAGACTCCTCAGACCCCCAACAATAGGGTTTGGTTAAATGGATCATGGAACCTCTCTCTAGACAACAGGACTGAAATGATCTGTATTTACCAAATGAAAAGCTCTCAAAATATAGTTTGTTTTTTTTCAAAGATTTTATTTATTTATTTGAGAGACAGAGATCACAAGTAGGCAGAGAGGCAGGCAGAGAAAGAGAGAGGAAGGGAAGGAGGCTCCCGCCGAGCAGAGCGCCTGATGCGGGGCTCAATCCCAGGACCCTGGGATCATGACCCAAGCCAAAGGCAGAGGCTCTAACCCACTGAGCCACCCACACGCCCTAGTTTTTTTTTTTTTAAGACTACAGAAGAGAATATATGATGTACCATTTCTA